GTTGTGATCCAATGGAATGTTGATCCCATGGAGCTGTCTGGTTAGACAGGGAGAAGTAAATTACTTCTGAATCACCATGACCTGCTGTAAAGAGTTAGGGCTTACCAACTCTAGAATATAAGCTCTAGAATATAGGTAGTTGCAGTTTTGCAGTTTTTATTTTAGGTTAAACAAGAAAAATAAGTCTTACGCTTGTCTGAGAGGGTCACAAATATGCCTGCCTACTGATTTAGTATAGTACTGATTAGAAAACTGAACAAAGGATGGACAAAATGGTCCAGTCTTGTCTAACTATGGCATGAGCACTGGTCTTAACAGAGACTACTCTTTTGTCTTGTCACTTTATTTACAAGAGTCATGACGTACACTTTATAAATTGCAACAATTTGAATGATCACTTCATAGGAGGCTACAGCAATAAAATTTGGCATTGCTTTCTTTGTTTCTGACTTTCACATCTTGTTAGCTGGGGTCAGCCAAAAAGAAGACAACTAACAGCAAGTCAAAGCCACCAAACTCATCACGGATGTATTTACACTTGCTCTGAGTTCTGTGTGTGTAAATTAACTCTGACAAGGTTTTGTTACCCGTTAGCTAATTCAGGGTTGTGTAACAGTCTCTTCTTGGAAAGGAGCTGATTTTTTTGTCAAAATGAGTCAGATGCTTTAGATGAAAGAACTCAACATGGCAGGTCACTAAAATTAGATCCATACCTGTTACTATCAGGTAACAGGATTAAGTAACCATGCTTGACCTAGAGTTCAATTTGACTGATTCTAGGATCCACACAGTCAAAATTGAGCTGGTACTGTGATCCTGTAGCTGCATAGCTAATATGAGCTGTGGGCCACTGGAGAGCTTGGCAGTCTCTGATCTTCCCTGTTGGCATCACCATCTAGCAGGGTTACTGAGGAACAGACCTTACTATAAATGAATCTTTTAGTGGGCTCCTCATCTTTCTGCACAAGTTGCAGTACTGTCCCATAGGAGAACATTGTCAGTGCTTGACAGGCATCTGTTTTTAAAATTTAAACAAAAGCTGTTTTTAAAAAAGCTGTGATGTTTACCATCCAGTCTACCAGATGCTGTTCCCAGTGACTGCTCTTACCTCCAGTGTGCAGAATTACTGTAAATAGTTGCTTAAGGCTTTATTTAAAGTCCTTTTCAGTTAGTGTGTAAGCACCATATAAAATCTTTTATGATGTGTAATTACTGCACATAGCTAACATGGAAGTTAGTCATATCTGCAGTGGGAAAAAAAAAATCTTTAAAAAACCTGATAGTATATATTTTCTTTTTCAGTTTTAAACTATAGGCTTTGGATGCTCCTTCCATTGTTAAAAAATCTTAGTCTTACATGTTTATGAGACTGACTTATTTTCTATTGCAGTGTATAAATAATTATTAGAAAAAGGCTATCCTAAAGTTGGCTGTACTACCAGTGCCTCTTGATCTGTATCTTTTAACTTACTGACAGAGATTGCATTTTGAATATTAGATGGATTGATTCATGACTTCATATGGAGAAGAATAAAATGTTCTTGGTTAGAATTAACATGTATGATGAATCTCCTAAGGTTAATTCTGCAGAGCTTCATATATAGATTATAGCTATAAATATAATAAACCTTACCTTTTCCGATATTGTACATAACTTACTGTACTTATTTATTCTTGGATAAAGAGTACTTTTTGTGACTTACTATTGAAATAGTGTAAAAGAAGCAAAAGGTGGGGATAATTTTTATCCTTTTATTAAACAGGGGCAAGTTAAGACTTAAGGATTTCCACTGGTAGTCTCAGTTGAGGGACATACTTCCCACTGCAAAACAGATTATTTGTAAAATACTTACCTTTCCTTGACCTTAGGTAAGACTTTCATTCACTGACAGCCCTGCTATATCCTGCTTTTTCCTTCCTCCCCTCCCACTAAATAGGATTGTGAGTGGAGTCATTGCCAACGTATGCAGTTTGTGCAGTTCTTTTATTGGTGCTGATTTTGTCAGCTGTTATCTTAGTGGGTGTGGTAGGGGTCTGCCACTTGAGCTTGTCCCATGGATGAGAACATTATAGGGGGGAAATGTGATGTTTTCTGCAGCGTGCGAGGAAGCACCACGTGAATTTAATGCTTCATATCAGCTGGTTAAATCAGACAGGCTTTTGACTACTTGTGGTACTGCTGCTTGTGACTGACCATGAAAATATCTTGTTCATGTGTGCCCTTCAAGACCTTAAGGAACTACAGCAGCAGATGGTGAATGTTCAAAGGGAGCATGTCCATGGCAGTGGATTTATGGAGTTCTTAAAGGCCATCTGTTTTTAAAGGAGAGAAGATAATAAAGTGTGTCTCATTAATGTGATGATAGGTCACCTGTCCTTTGCCACAGAATTGACATTTCTAAGCTTTTTTTATGAAAATTGATTTTTATTATTACTAAGATGACTTTGTTAACAAAAAGTAAACAGCACCTCCTTAAATCTGAATTGCTTCAGATGAGTGAAAAACTGGAAGACTGTTAGCAGTTTCACTGCAAAGCATACTCTCAGAAATAACAATCTGCCATTCTTATTGTGGTAAAATAAGCCTTCCCCTGTATGTCTGTAATGGAGAAGTGGTCACCAGAACCAGAGAAATTAACATGATTAACCCCTCAGCAAGTTTTCCTTAACATTGACAAACTTTGCAAATAGTTCCTTTCTCATCTTCGTTTATCTACCACTCTAAATTCCCTACTAGTCAGTTGTACTTTTTCTTTCCCTCCAGAAGTATGATTTCACACCTTGAAAAAAGATCAGTAGCCCTCTCCCTTACCTTGTTGTGTTTTTTTTAAAGGGCCCCCTCACCTGGTGGTATTAGAAAAAATGAGAGATGCAGACATAGAAAAAATACAGTTAAGAGTGGGAGGGCTGGAGCAGTTGGAACTGGGACTGGTTTTGAGCAGGCTACCTAGGCTACTGTTTACCAACACTGTGCTATTAGAAACACCAATAAGCAAACCTATTGCTGTCCACCTGTGGAAAAGCTGTTCTTCCAGTTGTGATTATGCAGTACCTTAGTAACAGCACCTTATTAGGCATGGTGGGGTAGGTCAAGGGCTGTTGTTTTCCTCATTGCCGGCCTGCCACAAACTGATGGAAATAATGCATAAATTAAGTATCAGATCTTCGTATTAAATTTCAAAGTAATTCAGTCCAGTAGCTACACAAATTCTCTCTGCATGTGGTGGATTTGCCTAGTGCATTTGCCAAACCATAAGGCATGTCACAAGATTGATTTTTTTAAAAACTTTTTTTTTTTTTTTTTCCAGAACTAGGAAGTGACAGTCTGAAGGGTTTGTCAATTCATAAACCAGGAAATACACTCATAGCCAGCCATCTCTCTGGTTTCTATTTTATAAACCTTCATAACTCTGTTTTCCTTATGGACTAAAATAAATGCATCTTTGATATATCCCTCAGATGCTGCTTCAGCAACAGTACAGCTGATATTAAGGGAATGTTAGAAAATAATTAAAACTAAATTAATTAAACTGAGTCTACAGCTTTTAACCCAATGGCATGAGTATAGAGGACAAATGCTTTTTAATACTCTAAAGCTCCACATTATCAGGTTTACAGTTGCTTGCATTTCTTTCTAAAACTTATTACAGTGCTAATCTGGAATTTAGTGAGTCGTGACTCTCCACAGCTTATAGTGAAGAAAGCACGTGTATATCTTAGTTTTAACTTTACTGGACCTGCATTCTCTTAGCAGTTGGAGAACAAAAACTCAGTCATTAGGCAAGAAGCCTGAGACTTTACGAAAGTTTCTCCACCCTAGTCTTCAGATTGGTCTGCATCAGAATTTCCAAGGCCTGTAGGAGTGGATTTACTGAGCAAAACAACTGGCAACACAGATACGACTGTCAATTCAGATATGTAGTCCTCACTGTATGTGGTGGGAGGGGGGTATTGGATCTCCTCTGCTTCTGTACACCAATACTTGTTAGTAGTTAGAATCAATCTTCTTGTTTGCTTTTCCAAAGAGGAATCTAGTCCATGTACAACAAAGATATCTGAGAATCACTTTGAAATCCTGAAATAAATTTAAATTTTAATACAGGTGCTGTTTGCACTGGGAGGTGCTGGTCTGTTGTGATTCCAGCAATAAAGGCATTCATATTCTGTAAAGCATCATTTAAAGTGCTATTTATTACAGATACCGCTATAAAGCAATAGCAGTGTAGTGAATCTTATGTCCTTGTAGATGCTGGGAACACCAAGCTATGCAGTGCTGAATGGGCCTCTGATCTACACACAGCATGCTGTGCAGACACACCATCTTAAGACAAAGTTACCCCATTTTTGTAATTAAAGATACTGTAGGATTTTTCTTTCAAGGTAACAGATCTATTAATGGATTCTACTGTCAGAAAGGAAGGATTTTTGTTCACTGTTGGAAATGGGCAAGGCCAGGCAGGTGGTATAATCACTCGTACCAGTGGAAGCCCTTCAGTGAGCTGAGTTCATCCCCTGGCCAAGATTTTGTGCAGCACAGCACAGGCCTGAGAGCCAGGCAGTGCTGTGTATGGCACAGGCCTGAGCTCACTTTGCTACTGCATGACTGGTTAGTGCTTCAATGTACACAAGTCTTCCAGGCAGGATTACCACAATGCATCCAGAACTGGAACTTGCCAAAGATTATCCCCTTTCTTCCCTGTCCTGTGAACTCTCTCAGGAACAAGGTGAGGTTGGGTGTTTGTTTGTTTTTTTAAATCACAGAGCTAGAAATAGCTTGAGTATAATTTCTTTTTGAAGTTTTATATGGAAAGAAAAGCTTTGCTGTCCAAAGCTCTCAGGCATGTTATATAATAGATACTACTTAGTTCTCATCTGTAGACATGTAGAGTACTCCAATTTGGAGGATTCACATGTAACAATAAATCTGAGTCATAAAATCTTCACCATTATCGATCAGACTGGCGCTACTGATCCCCTCACTTGTTTTGTTTTCCTTACAGAATCAAGGCCATTGAAAGCCCCAACAAAGATGATGACACACAGTGGCTGACTTACTGGGTTGTGTATGGTGTTTTCAGCATAGTAGAATTCTTCTCTGATATCTTTCTGTCCTGGTTCCCTTTCTACTATATGATAAAGGTATGTTCATTTGTGCCCTTTCCTAAAATGAGATGTTTGATACAACTGATTTAATGTCTTCAAGAGTGGATAGATGACAACAGATTCCCTTGGAAGCATTCCCGGGTGACATCTTATTTCTAGATGCTTGGCTACATGTAATTTACCACAAGGAGGGCAGTCTGTTTATGGCTGATCGTTTTGTGAGGCAAGAGGGGAGAAATGACTGCATGTGGTAAACACGAGAGGCTCCATTTTTGCATTAAGTGCAAAAGGGAGAAATAAAATCACAAAGGCAGCAAAAGGAAGTATTAACTTCTGTGCCTGAGAGGAAAGAAGGAAATAGCAACATAAAAATAATTTGAATCACACCAACTTCATTTTTAATTAAGACTGCTTTCCTGAAAAGAAGTGGCTTGTTGCTAGTGTGTATTTGTTAGTATGGTTTGACTACCAACAATGATTTGCTTAATGTGTTCCAAGCTGTGTTTTTCAACTAAGGTGTGACTATGGCCAATCAAGTCTAGCATATTGAATTATTCTAGAAGATCACCAATTACTGTGTATGCTCTTGGGTATAAGGCATTCTACCTTGCTGCAGAGTCAGTTGCTTAGCTTAAAGAACTGTTGCCTGGTTTCTGTGTTGATGAGCTTTCCTTCTCTTTAGCTTTTTTAGCCTGGTTTAGCACTCCCAAAGTTCTTGAAAGAATTTGCTTACCAGCTATTGCGGTAGGGTCATTTAAAATTTTAACAGTAAGGCCTGATGCTGCCAAATGCTTTTTCCAGGAAATGTCATCTTTGAGAACAAATTTGTAACTGCAAAAGATTTTATTTTTATCTTGACTAGACAGGGACAAAGCTGTAAAATCAAAATTGCTGCTTTTGTTCCTAGGCAAGAAAAGGGAAATTTTATTTTCTTTTCAACTTTTGAACAGAGGAAGTTGGATTTGCATCTGAGGGATTTCTTAACACAAAAGAGATCTAAGTAACATCTTGGTACAATGAGACAAATAAAATAACTATCAGTAATCAGCCAGTTATTCTTTAGCAGGAAATAAATTAAATATACTTCTCAGTTTTTAATGAAAGATAGCAACGTAAGATAGTGCTGTTTATCTTTTCAGTTATATTAATTTCCAAATATAGAAGCTTTTGAAAATTTATATTCTGTCACTTTAGTATTTTCTTTGATCATGCTTAATGATACTGTATCGGTTGCTGCTTACAAGTGCAAAATTTTATTGCATGTTGAATTACTTGTTTTAATTCATTGAAATGTTCCTGGTAGGTATTTTCAGTGGTGGGAACTTCACTTCAAAAAGCACTTCTCTTCTGAGGAGACACTCCTTTGAGTCATGCTGTTCTGGCACCACAACCAAACAGTTTAAATGAAAAAATTAAAGCTTACTTCAGAGGGTGATGGCTTGGTTTGACAAAATCTTCTCTACAAGGCACTTATTGACCCCAGAAACTGGTGATCCTTTTCCAAGAGGAAGCCTGTCAAGATACCACTCCAGCTCCAAATACATTACAGTTGTTTTTCTCTAAGACAAGGGGAGTGAGAAGTGGCCTGACAGAAAAAAAGAGTAGCAGTCTTCTCCAAAACCAGTAGGTCAGAGATGTTTTCTTCAACTGATGTGCATCAAGGAAATCAGTTTTATTGTTGTGTGCACTGCAGTGAAGACAAAGGTAAATTTTAGCAGCTATGAAGAGAAGAACCTACAGAGCATTCAATCTCTATATCCCTTATCTGAGGAATAATAGAGGGGGAATATTAAAAAATATTTGAAAGGCTTGCCTGAAGAAGACTTACGTGGTTTTCAGGGATTTTATTATCTTATTTTTCTTCTTGTTAAACTCAAATCAGAACCTTCCTTTTAAAATAACCTCTCTTGATTTAAATCACCTTTTAATAGCCAAATTATTATTTAGGAATTTCTTATGTAATACTGAAAAAAATACTTGGGTGTGGTTCTGTCTTTGTAGTTTTACAGTGGGAAATCAGAAATATGAGGGAAAGGAGAGGAGACAGAAATGTCTGGCTGAGAACAGTGGAATTCATAAAGGATAAGGGTATCACTGTGAGGGTGACAGAGCACTGGAACAGGCTGCCCAGAGAGGTTGTGGAGTCTCCTTCTCTGGAGACTTCCGAGACTCGTCTGGATGCGTTTTCCATGTGACCTGCCCTAGATTCTTTGGTGGTCCTGCTGTGGCAGGGTAGGATGGATTTGATGATCTCCAAGGTCCCTTCCAGCCCCTAACATTCTGTGATTCTATGATACCGTGATCAAACTAGTTTATAGGAAATGCTTTTTCCTATAGAATGTACTGGAAACTTCATAAATAAATAAGAAAACTTGCTTACATTTAAAAAATACTTTCTGAAGCTGTTGCATATGCGTTGCAACATCTCTCCAGCTGCTGTAGATGCTGCTGTGAAAACAACAGACTTGTAAGTTCCTTCTGATTTTGTTGTAGGTTAAATGTTTAGTTTGATTTTTGGTGCCTAATTTAGCTAATTGTATAGTGGGGTTTTTTCAGAGGGAAGAGTTTTTTATTATTGTTGATTTTTCTCCCTCTCCTCCCAGTAATGTGTGGAAATCATCAAACATGTAATCACATCTAACATTAAAACCAAGCACATTTTGACTGAGATCAAGTTTTGTTTTCATAAAAGGTGGTCTGTGAAAAGCTGTTTGTCTTTATTTTCTGGAGAAGCTTTTGACACAGAATAGTACTGGACTGTTGGTGACTGGAAGGAACTGCACAATTGCTGAGAAAATTTACTTAGTTTTGTTGCAGTTTTAACCTGTAAAATCTTTTTAGATATACTTTCAGAGCTCAGGCGAATTTAGTTATGCCACTGCCTGTCCCTTAAATGCTTTCATCCTTTTTTGTGTAGCTATCTTTGAGTTGTGTATGACAGTGGAACTGAAAGCAGGTAAAGGTACTTTGTAAAGTAGTGAAGACAGGTACTTAAAATATATGTAGTAGCTGTCTTTCCAATCCCCTTTGTAAGACACAGAAATATTACCCCACACACTGGTGTTTGTTTTTTGATTTTCCCAGAGAGCAGACAGTGCTATAAAACCTATGCTGTGCAGTTGAAAAACATTACCCTTTTCTGTGTGCTGTGTGTAGTTTGGATGTATCATTCCTCCTTCTCAGTTCAGCTCTGGGTGCACACAATCCCATTTATTGCCCTGCTGCATTTTCAGAGCAGGAAGACGGAGAGGACACAGGGATAAGTTTGGGCTGACAGAACCTTCCTTTTAAAATAACCTCTCTTGATTTAAATCACCTTTTAATAGCCAAATTATTATTTAGGAATTTCTTATGTAATACTGAAAAAAATACTTGGGTGTGGTTCTGTCTTTGTAGTTTTACAGTGGGAAATCAGAAATATGAGGGAAAGGAGAGGAGACAGAAATGTCTGGCTGAGAACAGTGGAATTCATAAAGGATAAGGGTATCACTGTGAGGGTGACAGAGCACTGGAACAGGCTGCCCAGAGAGGTTGTGGAGTCTCCTTCTCTGGAGACTTCCGAGACTCGTCTGGATGCGTTTTCCATGTGACCTGCCCTAGATTCTTTGGTGGTCCTGCTGTGGCAGGGTAGGATGGATTTGATGATCTCCAAGGTCCCTTCCAGCCCCTAACATTCTGTGATTCTATGATACCGTGATCAAACTAGTTTATAGGAAATGCTTTTTCCTATAGAATGTACTGGAAACTTCATAAATAAATAAGAAAACTTGCTTACATTTAAAAAATACTTTCTGAAGCTGTTGCATATGCGTTGCAACATCTCTCCAGCTGCTGTAGATGCTGCTGTGAAAACAACAGACTTGTAAGTTCCTTCTGATTTTGTTGTAGGTTAAATGTTTAGTTTGATTTTTGGTGCCTAATTTAGCTAATTGTATAGTGGGGTTTTTTCAGAGGGAAGAGTTTTTTATTATTGTTGATTTTTCTCCCTCTCCTCCCAGTAATGTGTGGAAATCATCAAACATGTAATCACATCTAACATTAAAACCAAGCACATTTTGACTGAGATCAAGTTTTGTTTTCATAAAAGGTGGTCTGTGAAAAGCTGTTTGTCTTTATTTTCTGGAGAAGCTTTTGACACAGAATAGTACTGGACTGTTGGTGACTGGAAGGAACTGCACAATTGCTGAGAAAATTTACTTAGTTTTGTTGCAGTTTTAACCTGTAAAATCTTTTTAGATATACTTTCAGAGCTCAGGCGAATTTAGTTATGCCACTGCCTGTCCCTTAAATGCTTTCATCCTTTTTTGTGTAGCTATCTTTGAGTTGTGTATGACAGTGGAACTGAAAGCAGGTAAAGGTACTTTGTAAAGTAGTGAAGACAGGTACTTAAAATATATGTAGTAGCTGTCTTTCCAATCCCCTTTGTAAGACACAGAAATATTACCCCACACACTGGTGTTTGTTTTTTGATTTTCCCAGAGAGCAGACAGTGCTATAAAACCTATGCTGTGCAGTTGAAAAACATTACCCTTTTCTGTGTGCTGTGTGTAGTTTGGATGTATCATTCCTCCTTCTCAGTTCAGCTCTGGGTGCACACAATCCCATTTATTGCCCTGCTGCATTTTCAGAGCAGGAAGACGGAGAGGACACAGGGATAAGTTTGGGCTGAATTTAAGTGATTTAGGTACCTAGACCTTCAGCCAGACCTGTGCCATATAGCTTAGAAGTACCCAAGGAGACTAATGTTTTGTCTAAGCAGGTTTTATATTTCTACTTAAAAAAAACCAACAACAAACACGTACATGCAGCCTTGATACACCTGTTACCAGGTTAGCTTTACTGCTATTTCCCCCTTCCTTTATCCTTTCAGTATCTCTTGGAATTATTCCAATGTAAAGATTCACTGTATGTAACTATACTGATGTGCACACGTCATGGACTGTGACCGTATCACGTGAAGGGGACAACGTCCTGTTTTAAATATTCTCAAACCTGCAGCAGTTAGGAATACCTGCTATACCTAGTCTTCTTCTTTATTCTACTTACACAGATGTTCTTGTTCTTGTAGTGTGGCTTCCTGTTGTGGTGCATGGCTCCAAGTCCTTCTAATGGAGCAGAGTTTCTCTATCGTCAAATTATCCGGCCTTTCTTCCTGAAGCACGAAGCTCAGCTCGACAGTGTTGTTAAAGACCTGAAAGACAAGGCTGCAGAGACTGCAGATACCATCACTAAAGAAGGTGAGGAAAAGACAATTTGCTCATCACATCAACTAGGAGGAATTTCCCTGGGCAACTCTTAACATTATAGTTAATAATGTTGGAGAATAAAGTTGTAAGAAGACTGTGTAAATTTAATGGAGAAATTAAATTTGGATCAAGATGCCAGGAAAAGAGGATTGCAGTGGATCTTACTTTCTAGAGTGCAGTTATGCTAGAATGAGTGCAAACTGTATGAGTGGAAGAAATGGCTAATTAGTTTGTGTGTCTTCCCACCATGTATCTCAGTATAAACATTCTGTCTAGAGGCAGATCCAAATATCCTTGTGAGATAACTTCCATAAATACAGTTCGTGTTTTGGTGCATTCTTCTATCACCTTAAAAAAAACAGTCTAAAATACCTGGTAGTATAGAAGGGCTGCCAGTGGTGTAGAACAGCAAATCAGTTGGCTCCAGTAAACAGCAACATGTGAAATAGAGTTTTCCCAGCTGTTTTTGTACTTCCCAATCAAAGGATTCTGAGCCCACTCTTCAAGAAATTACTTAGGTGTTTACTGAGTTATCACAGCCTGTGATAACTTACCAGCTTGCCTTTTGCTTTTATTTCCTTGCATTCTGTAATTGATCTTTTTACTCTAAAATGTCTGATGATAGTTTTATGAATAAGAGAAGGAAATGTATTAACTAGCTAAAATAAATGTTTTTAAAAAATTTATAAGCTATTTCAAAGCACCTTAGGTTTCCTTTTTCACAAAGTATGCAGTCTCATTTCCTCTTACCAACTTAAAGCAGTTTTCCTGACAGTGTTTACATGATCTGCCTTTCTCAGCTACACTTGGAAATCTTGCTGCATGACCCTTTTTTGAATCATTGTTAGACAGGTATCTTTAAATCATATTCTTCCATGTTGCACATGGGGTTTTTAGGTTCTCATTCCATGACTTAATATTTTTCCTGTTTTTTACATTAAAATATTTCCATATACATTCATTTTTTAAGAAATTATGCACACATATATGCACACACACACGTTAGTGCCATTCCAGCCCTGTTTCATCAGCTTAATAGTGTATTTCTTGTTGCCTCTATGTCCTCAACATGGTGAGCAGCTCTGGTTTTTTGATATAATAGTTGTAAGTAGTTCCCTGCTCTTTATTGTGTTGCTCATTGCTTGTGGTTTATTTATTTAAATCTTTATGTCTGTATGTGTATACAAAAGCTATGATTTTTTTTTTGGTGATGTTTCTTTTGTGACCTGAAAGGAATTTTTTTATTATTTTTTTTTATGCAGCTGAAGAACACTGAGAAAGCCACTTAGTCTAAAAGCCTCTAAGATTAAACTTGCTTTCATTTTCTTGCAGCCAAGAAAGCCACAATAAACTTACTGGGCGAAGAAAAGAAGAGCACTTAAAGTATTAACTGGATAAAGTTTCCCTGCCACCTCCTTTGTGAAGCTACATGATACTGGGAACTGTGGTATAAAATTAATAATATTGCCTTGGAAACATTTTGATATATTAAAGGAATGTGTTCTAAGTTTGCTTACTACTTTGCTGTGTATAGAAAGTAAGCATTTTTATTTAAAAGCAATGCAGTGGGCAGCATCCAAAGCTTAATGAAAATATTCTATTAGTCCTTATGTGGAAGAAATCTTTCAGTAATCTCTTTCTGCAGGAACATAAATAAAAAGTAGGTATCCCACAGGATCTGCACTTTAGTTGTCTCTGTGTATGTAACTGCTCTTTACACTTTGGGGTGTGTCTGGTAACATTAAACTGTTGTATAAGGAAAATACTAGTTGGAATGGATCTTCTTGAGTATACAGGGAATTATTGTGAGAGATGGCATAACAGATGTATTCCTCACCAATAAAATTCTGAAGTATGAAATTATATGTTCTAGGTACCTGATGGTATAGATTATTAACTGTTGCATGTTTTGTTGTAACCCAGTATTTGGTACAATGTATTCTTAAATTGATAGATACAAAATATAAGATTAATATAATTCAAATGATCAAGCTTATATTAGCATGAAGTAATTTGGCTGAAATTGATTAATTAAACTGTACAAAATTAGCACAATATGACTAAAGTACAGCTTCTTGCCTCTTCTTGCTAAATAAAGTCGTTGTGAGAGTGCCTTTTAAGATCACACTCAAAAGCACAAGCCACCTTTTGCTAAGGAGTGATATGAACACTTTTTCCTAAAGACTTGTTGAAATATTAACTGCCTTGGGTGTCGGTCCCCAGAGCTACATCATTAGTGGGATGACCTGCAACCTCCATGAGCTTTGTTTGCTCACAATAATCTGCAATATCTTTCGACTGCACTAAGAACAGCTTTGCATGAGCGCTGAAACTTCCCGAATAGAGATGCTCTTGTTGTTACTTGATATGTTCCTGACCAATCAGTAACAATGCAACCAAGGTTGTTAAGATTCTAAAGGCTTTTTTGCAGTCAATAGAAAATATAATTTATTTTTTTTTTTAATATCTCAATCCGTATTTACTTACACCCCACAGTATTTTCAACAAATTCAGAATGAATTACTGAACCGTTGCTGTTCTCATCTCCATGATGATGTTTCTTTAAAGCCCATTAGTAATGCTATGACAGCTCTTAGCTCACAGAACATGCAGAAGGTAAGCTTAAGCTTTTCACGTGATAAAAAGTTAATTCTGGTTCACAATCTTAAATTCAAAAGTTTTAACCTTAAAATAGACTTACTTTTGAAGACTTTTGGCCTTGTGCAGCAATTTGGTATGCAAACATCACTAAATTCTCAGATGCAAGAATTGCAAAAGAGTGAAGCACACAGTGCAACTCAGAAGATCAGTTTTTAATTTGAGATATATGTATTATAAAGAGATGTAAAAGCGGCTTAAAGCATTTTGAGCTTTAAGCTGGAAAACAGCCTTATGGCTGTCAACTTGCATTGGGCAGTGTAAGACCACTGTGAACAATTTTCTGTAGGACAGCAGGCAGTTTGTCATTTGAAGGAAAAAAATGCAAAATACCACAGCTGATAATTCTATGACATCTCTTTGTTATGAGTGAATGTGCTGCAGAACATAAAATTTACAGCAAAGTTGTAGACATAAGCAAGCAGAAAGGTTGGACTAACTCACCATTTAAGTGGTTTAATCTCTTGTCTTATCTTCCTCTGTCTTAAACCCACTGAATTTTTCTGTAAGCCTAGTGCTGTGTTTTAAACATTATCAACTGTGTATATAGCAGGCATGTGCCCAGCATAGTTTAGTTTCACCTCTTGAAATAATTAAGTCACAAATATAAATAGAAATAAAGATACTTGCTAGTCTATTTGATTTAGGTACAAATTTCTGTATAACTTAGTTCTCTAAAAGCTGCTGAAAAATCTTAAGACTTTCAATGTCTAAAGAGGTCTGTAGTAGATTCAGAACTTGTTTTTAATTTCTCATACTACTCAACAGTTCTTAAACTGTTATTATTGGGGATAATAATTTCTAGGTAAGTGTTAAAACATTCTCTTACATCTCTCTTGGAACAGTTAGATTTTAAATCGACTTCTTGTATTTACAACTCTTGACTAGCCAGCTACATTCAGTATGCCTTTGTCAGGTTTCTACTTGAGTAAGAATTACCATCTGTCGTTAACAGAATGTGATCTTGTTTGCCTTGATGCAAGTAGAAATGGCTGAATTTCGGCAGCAAGTTGTACTTTCCTGCAAGTAACTCCACTGGGCTGGCCCCACTGATCAGTTATCTTCTCAAAGTCTTCTTCGCAGCATTTATGTTCAGATGTTGGTACACACATCTACTCTGTGTCTCTGCTGAAGTTGTAATGTGCTAAATAAAAAAATAAAGAGAATCTCACAGGACTAGTATGATGCCTTGGTAATTTTTTAAAGACCTCAACACTGAAAACCTGCTTACTGTAAGAAGGCAGAAGATCTGCAGGATAATAACTTTTTTTAACTCCAACTTCAGTACCATGGAACTAGTAGAAACCTTTCAAAAAGCCTGAAGGAGGTGCTGCGGTGTCATGACAGATCTCGGGGTGTAACTGTGCTGTTTCAGAGCATGACGCTCTGAATGAGAAGAGTTTGGAATACATACCTGTTCTGAACAGTGAGCACCATGAGCAGCTGCCTGCTACTGAGTCTGCTGCATAGTTATTGGCAGGTGGGGGGGGCACGGTTTACACTTCCTGTTCTTTCTGCTACCAATAGAAGTATGACAGTTCTGCTTTATTCCACACCTTTCCTAACTCAGCAAACAGGAAAAAAAGTTTGTAACACTTGAAACAACCCACAATGTTGGGTATCACCACTAGTGATAGTTAAAGCAAATTCTTCAAACCAAAGCACATTAGTCAGCAAAGAATAGAAATTCTTTTTAGTAGTAGAAGATGCGAGTAATACTTGTCAGGTCAAGCCCTCTCAACTCTTTGTCAAATTTAAGAAAGCATCTGGATTTTGCAGTCCCATCTTGACAACTGTTTAAATACTCTGAGAGTCAACATGAAAATATTACAACTAATTGCACAGTTGACTCCCACCCCCATTTCAAACTCAACCAGCAATTTATGCAAAGGAGGGAGATGGCAGTTTTGAAAAGGAAAATCACAAATGCTTGCAGGTCATGAAAGGTTGTCAGTATTTCCTGTAAACATGCATGTCTGGCAACCATGTGAACATCAGTCTTGTCTTTCTAGACAACTTCTATATCTTCTGTAATGGATTGCAATGGTACTTGAATAACAAGTTAGGACCACTAAGAGAGTCCTGGGTTGAACACTCACATTCATAGAACTTCCTGTGGAGAACAGATTTCTCTTTGGCATATAAACCATTAAGATACTCAGGAGTGAAAAAAAATAAAGCCTCACATGACTATGTTAACTAGTGAAGTGAAAGTAATTGCATGTGAACTTTGAATTTAGCATCTTTGGGAATGACATGTAGTTGACACCTTGGCTGAGCCTGTGGAATTCCACGAGACAACACTTGATATACATACTGTTTTGGATTATTGCATCCTTGAAGGAGGAGATTTTGTAAAGCCTTTAATTATACATGTCTAAGTTCTGCTATCTGGAAAAAAAAAAATAATTAAAACACACACCACCCTCCCCCTCCCAAAAAAAAAAAAAATCAATCAAAACCCAAACCAAAAAAAGCCCAACTTGATAAAGAGGAAAAAAAAAAAAGACATACAGTTTTGTAAGAAACAGCACTACAGTGCAGGCTTCTCAGTTTTTATGTGGATTGACCCTTGCACTCTCCCAGGCCTGGAGCACCTCTGCTATGAAAAGAGAGTTGGGATGTTCAGCCTGGAGAAGAGAAGGCTTCAGGGAGACCTTATAGCACCTTGCAGTGCCTGAAGGGGCTACAAGAAAGCTGGAGAGGGGCTTTTCATCAGAGAAGATAGTGATTGGACAAGGGGTAATGGTTTTAATCTGAGAGAGGAGAGATCTAGGTTAGATATTAGGAAGAAATTCTTCCCCATGAGGGTAGAAAGGCACTGGAGTAGGTTTGCTAAGGAGGTTGTGGAAGCTCCCTTCCCTGGAGGTGTTCAAGGCCTTGTTGGAAGAGGCTTGTGCAGCCTGGTCTAGTGGGAGCTGCTCATAGCAGGGAGGTTGGAACCTGATGATCTTTCAGGTCCCTTGTTGGGGCCCTGGCTGTGTTGAATGATTATGAAAAACTTTAGGCAGAAACTTTAGGCAGCTGGAGGAACAGTGAAGGTCATTTCGTGGGAACTAGTGAAGCTCTGGTATGTAAGGTAAATAGGACGGGGAGTCAGATAAAGGGCTTAAAGTAGGGGCCAATCAAAAGGGGAATGGGGATGCGTGAACAATGTGTATTAACCAATTAAGAACTTTGTTTTGCCGCGTGGACAGCGTGCACGCTGTCCTGAGGCTATATAATCTGCACGCAGCTAAATAAACTTGGACTGAATCTACATCATATTGGTGTGCTGTATTCTTTCCTGGCTTGCCACAGATACGGTCCACGGCAGTCCCTTCCAACCTTGAACATTCTATGACTCTGTGATTCTAAGACTTACGGGCACATACTATCTTTGAGACCTCTACTCTTTATCATGTCAACAGGCTCAAAAGTTATAAACCACTCAATAAATGGAGTATTTGTACTAAGTATTTTTTTCTATTGGTGAAAACAATCTTTTTCAAAAGTGAGGTGCAGTAATTCCAGAAAGACCAGTCTGCAACAGGAAGAAGCCAAGTAACTGGTATCTGGTGACAGGACTTAGGGAATGGCTCAAAGCTGTGCCAGGGCAGGTTTAGATTGGACATTAGGAAGCATTTCATTACCAAGATGGTAGTCAAATATTGGACCTGGCTTCTTAGAGACGTGATTGATGCCCTAAGCCTGTCAGTGTTCAAGAAGCATTTGGACAATGCCCTTCATAACATGCTTTAGCTTTTTGTCAGCCCTGAAGTGGCTAGCCAGCAGGACTAGATTGTTGTGGGTCCCTTCACACTAAAATAGTGTATTTTTTCTATTCTAGTCTAGGCTATTCATACTCTATTTACTATTATCTTTGGTCTTTGAGGAATTTATTTCATGGCTGACGGTGAGGGACTATATATGGACACATATTACTGTAACTTCCAAAGTTAAATCATGTTTCAAAGTAAGATGTTGAAGCTGCCTTTACATTAAGAACTGAATGATTATGGGTGTATTTGTTCTACAGCAGCAATGTGCCCTCTTCCCTACAGCTGCAAGAATAAAGTATTTGCCATGCAACAGTGCTCAGTTTTTGCTTTTAGTCATTCTGTTTTCAGATCTGCGTAATGTCCAATGTTTATGTTCCCATCCACTGCTGACACAGAAATTGTCATAAGGATCGTTATTACGATTCTGAGCTCGCATGTCCATTTCAAATGTTGAATCTTTGCCTAGGTACCCAAAAAAGAGCGTGGGAAAGCAACAAGCATATACTTTAAAATAGCTAGACTTGTATCTCCTGGAGGGACACTAGCTCAATTACCATATTGCTTGGTCTTAGATGTAAATGCCCATGTAGCAATGCATCCCTTTTTTAGTATTGCCATGCACAGCAAACCACAGACTACACTGTGAGACCATTTCCTTTTGAAAGATTTATTGACAGCATTGAGACTAACAGTTGCAGTACTTCTGTATTTTTACAGCAGCCTTGTCTCCACTCCCAGTCCCACAATAGCCTCATCATCTTCCTTGTTCCCAGGAACTGAGGGTGTGAAGGGGATAGGGGAAGGATGCTGATGGGGGAAAGAACACAGGAAGAACCTGACTTACTATCTGGACTTGTGCGTTTTTAACCCTCTAAGGAACCAAGTTTAATAAAACCCAAGAAATACAGAAATGAAAGTCAGGTTTACAAGCTTAACCCTGGAGGAACAAAGGAGTTGTGATGAACTTTCTGGTGCCCTATTCAGGAACAAATAGTGTACTTACTCTAAAGCCAGATAGGAATCAAAAAAGCCAACTGCTGAACTCAGAGATGGGTGGATAAGCAGACAGGGGCTGGGGGAACCAGACTTCAGCTCCATAATGGTAGTTACCATCTGATTCCCCAGCAGAGGACAATGTTTTGGTTGTTTTTTTTTTAAAAAAAAAAAGTCAGCATTACCCAAGATACCTGAAAAGCATTGTTAATTTGATTAAATCACAGTTTTATATATTTGAGCTCAATATTACTCTTTGCAAAAATGTTTCTCAGTCTTTTTTGTAATACCCTTATACTTCAAAATAGCTCTACTATTTTGGGTTGATTGGCAAATTTTGGTAAGCAATGCCACAAAGATTTATTTCTCAACATAGATACCATAACACAGACAAGTTATTTAGCTATTTAATTTCTGGCCACTGTAAACATATTCAGTGAGACTGAATAGCCACGTTTTTTAGCTGTCTGTAGTGTAAAGCTCTGACTTACAATACTGAGGTATAACACAATTATAACTTGGCTACAGTTATTAACCTCCACTTAATATTGCAGAAGTGTCATCTTGTACCAAATAACTTTCATAGAGCTCTCACTTTAAATAAAGCTTCAGGAAAGTTACTCAGCACTCAGGAAAAGCCAGGAATAACTTGAGCCCCAAAATCTGTGGGCAGTTATGGTCTCTTATACTCAAGTGTATATTTCACACTTTTCTTGCATACCTCACTTGTTATTCTTCTCCGTGTTGCAACTTCCCTAACTCCATAGGATGTAACGAACAACCTCTGACCATCTTCACTTTCAGATAGCACCCCTTCCCACTGTTCCTACCACATGGCATTCCACTACTTCAGAGAGATACTATTTAACTTCTGAAACCTAGGTGCTGTTTTCAAGGCCAGACACTCCCAAGGTAGCTTGTGAAAATCACTGTACCAGCAGAACTAAAAACCAAACAAACCACAAACCAAACCAAACAAAAACCCCACTACATTTCTATATAAGCACAGTTAGTTACAACCTTAGAACACAGAATTTCTTCTCATAAGCTGTTTTATTTTAGAGAGCCTACACACTGCTGCTCCCACACTGGTATAGCACTCAGGCTGAGGAACTTTGTCATGACAATTTCTGGATTTGGTACAACTGCAGTGAAAACGAGAGCACATCCTTCTCTTTTGTGAAACAATGCAACCCAGGAACAACACTTACAAAGTATTACAGACAGAAAACAGAATTGAGTTTGAACTATTCTCAACGTGGAGGATCTTTTACTGTTGCACCATCAGTACCTGTCAGATCGACGCCAAGGGGCACTGGTAACTCATCAGCTGTTTGAAAAACATGCAGTTGAGCGGAACAAAAAAATGTAAGAATGTAAAAAATCTCAAAATGCAAGGACAAGTAACTTGAGCAGTGATACACTCAATACCTTTACCAAGTTTCAATACTTCAGAACAATCACTAAACATCTAGATAGATTTTGAATGCTGTTTATCTTTAGAACGTAAAAAAGGCAATGCCATAGAGAAGCGTAACTGACAGGCAAGCAAGACAAATCCTAAATAAATAGTGCCACCTGGAAAGTTTATAAAAAATAATCTGATAAGCTTGCTTCCAGTAGCCATCTGTGAAAACATTCAACTGACTTTGTTTTCATATAGTAAGGATTTACAAAACTCATGCAGGACTTTAGTTTTTAAACTGAAAAGTACTTCTGTTCCTTTTTCAAACTCTTTATACTAAACTACCTCTCATTTAACTTCCCCAGTACATTTCTTAATTATTTTGAAGAAGCTTTGCTACTGGACAGCTGTTCTGACCAGCTCCTCCAAATAACTTTCTGTCCTTGCCTGTGGGCTACATAGAAAGAAAAAACCTTTAAAAATCAAGTTACCAGATATTAAAAAATTCAGACATTTGAAATAGTATTTGACAGGCAGAAAATAGTTATGTTTCCTCAGCTCTCAAAAAGAAAAAAAAAAAGCCAAATCAGGATAATACAGTATGCCGTATTATACAAAAGGGAGATATTTTTTCCAAGTTATTTTAAAAGTGTAGAGCATTATTATACACGTTACTGATTTATTTACAACAGGCTTTGGAGGAAAAATCAACACTTCTGGGAAAAGTATCCTATGAAATTATTTTGTAAAAAAATTAACACGTGACACATGTATTAGTACACTTGCCAGTTGTGAAAGATTATTAGCCAGGGATGTTTACACAGGCATAACTTCATTGATGTACATTTTTCTTTTAGTATTAAGACAATCACTTCACTAGCATAGATAAATGGTTTTCTAAGGCAACTAGTTTTCAGATACCTAGTCTGCTTAAGAATATTTATTTACTTCTCAAAAGCTGCATATATATGGTGGAAAGAATAATTCTCCCACCTATCCTATTTTTATGTTCTTCCACTTTTCAGCATGGATGCTAGATTCAGACTTGAACGTTGCGTGTGAAGACAGATTTATTGTTACACAGATGTGAGGCAGCTACATGCATTCCAGTTCCAAGAAAAGCTGGCAGTTTGTTCAGCTTCACTTGTTTATTTCTTGCTTTTATCTTTCACTTAAAACTTGCAGCAAGTAATGTGTCCGTCCGCATTTGTTGTAAGGACAACTGTGTGTTGTAACAATTATTCCAGATGTCAGCTCATTTCTTTTTCTTCCCTTTACCTTTCTTGCCTCCCTCTCCTTGCTGAAGACTTTGGTCACTACCTCCCATCTTCTGGGTTCTTGTTTTCAGTTTGGGAATAGTTTCTGCAGCATAGAGCATCACTGATTTACCTAAAACACAGGGAGAGATTGATGCGTGCCTACTATGTTAAGAACATTTGCATAATTTTCCAAGTTAGAAACTTCAGTTCCACCTTAGATTCCCATTAAATTAGATGTAAAGCCTAGGAGTTCTGCTTCCTTCCCCTGTGTAGCTAGTTTGTGAAAAACTCTTCTCAACCTTCTTATTTTTAAAAAGTGTAGGACTGATAAACATAGCAGAATGCAACAAGCAGATAATCTGACAATCCCTGAAGTATCTACATCCTTTCTGTTTCTTTCTCTTCACTTCTTAATGGCCTAAAATACCTGGGACATTATGACAATCTGCAAGTATTTTTAGAAAGCTACTGTTGCCTTCCAGCAAAGGTTTTAAATCTCTTTCTGACTGACAGCACTCTTATGCTACTGTAGATTCAGTATTCTTCTCCTTCTTTCCTTAAGATACACACATTTTCAGATACATATTTGCTTCCCTTTTACACATTGATTAATTTTCAGGAAAAAGCAAGACTAACTTATTTATCATTCGAGATTAACTATTTCTACTAATTAGTTAAAGGGGACTGCTCCATTCTTAGTTTATGAAAATGACCATGAGAAAACTCAAATTAATTCAGAATAGTATCAATTTAGCATCCATACCAGTATCTATGTAATGCATGTAACTTCAGAAATAGGTGAAATTTAGCCATTTTAATACCAGATCCTGTTTTGCCTGTCAACAACACAGTAAGCCAAACCTGAGTATCTGCTTTGTTCAACATAGCAATCACACAACATTCCCCACAGTCCTCTCCAATGCAACTGCTGAAGAAACAGCAAGACCAAGGACAACAGCGTTTTCCAAATTTCACTTTCACTTTTCATTTCATTTGGTTGACTTACATAGGCAAATAGGTTTAATGTAAAGTAGTACAATTTATAATAGCATAACTAATTAAACAAGCTGGAAACATAACAAAACAAAGTTTTTCTGTTTTATTAAAAGGTGAAGTGCCTGTCCCAGGTACTCTACTCACGTGTTGGAAACTGAGGTAAACATGGGTTGCCATCATCTTGTTTGAGCTGGATTCGTACTCTACCTCTGTACTGCACATCTCTATTCCACTCTCTAGGATACATCTTATTTTTCTGTCATATAGAAGAAGAACTTATTACAGTTATTGGAATAATTTTCTGCAAAACTTGTCAGTCAATTGATCTCTTATCACCACAGCCTGAAATTCTGAGCAGATGCAAAATATAACCACAGCTTTCCAACAGTGTCATCCGCCATTCAGCCACTGCAACAATTGCTACAGTGCAACTTTTTCAGAAGTACTTCTGTAAACAGCTCCTGGTACTGAACAATTTACCAAGTAACCTGCTACAGGGACAACTCTACTTCTTCACCAGTCTGGACTGCAGGGACACAGGTTTTTGTTTCAAATACGCAGCCATAAACCCTACTGAACCCCTACAGAGAGTAAGCCATGGGTCACAGTCTGAGGCCCACTGCTTTTGGATACTCATAGCCTTCATTTTTGTTAAAATTAGAAGGATTCTTCCTGGTTCTGGCTACTTCACAGGCTAGTGTGCATTAACAGGAAAATACTGAGCTTCTTTTGAAAACTAAAATAATTTTTGTACTGTTTTTTGGATACTAATCTGTGGCAGTTTTAGCTGGGACAGAGTGAGTTTTCTTCATAATAATCAGAATAAGGCTATGTTTTGAATTTGTGCTAAGAACAATGGTAACACACTGATCTTGTTGTCAAGCAATGCTTCCATTAAGATAAGGCTTTTTTTCACTTTCTCATACTGCCCCTGTCCTTTCAAAAGCTGGGAGGAGACATAGCTGGGAGATGACCCAAACTGGCCACAGGAATATTCTGTACTATAAGATGTGATGCTCTGTATATAAGATGGGGAGAGTTGGCTGGGAGGGGTGACCACTGCTCAGGAACTGGCTGGGCACCAATCAGTGAGGGGTGAGCAATTACACTGTGCAACACTTGTCTTCCTTGGGTTTTATTTCTCTCTTTGTCATCTCCTTTTTCATACTACTACTAATATTATTATAAAGGTAATGCTTCAATTATTAAACTGTTCTTATCTCAGCCCATGAATTCTACTTTTTTTTTTGTCTCTCCTCCCCACCCCTCCAATGCAGATGGGATTAAACAATGGCACAGTCACACTATTAGATGAGGACCTAACTTACTCTTAGAAAATTCAGCAGTATTTTAAATTAATGATTACTTTATAAAAAAAAACCAACCTGCAAAAAGTTACCTCTTTAGAAACCCAGAGGCAATCCTTAAGAAAAAAGTAATTAAAAATCTTAAACTATTTAAAGAGCAAGCAGGTATTGCAGTGAAAAGTTAGCATGCTCTGGCTAAAACATTACTCCAAAAGACACTGAAGAATTCAAGCATCAGAACCCTATTCCTATAGGACACTAATTCCAAAAGGCAATCACCTTTCATGAAAACTAGGCCTTTAAAAAATCTTAATTTGCAGTTGCAACTTGCAAAATTACCTTTTATTCTGACACACTTTTAAGGATCTAGGATAGTCTCCTCAGAAGGATAAGGAGAGTCATCTTTTTATAAGCTTAAAAGTGGCATTGTCCCAAAGATCTGGGTTATTCCTGCCTTGCATACAGTTTTCCAACATCTGCTTCAACATTATTGTCAGTTATTACTAAAAACAAGAAAGTATCTTGGCTGATTTTAAAAACTTCTCAATTGCAATTGATTCTACCTGTATGAAAAGGTGTTATGAAAGAACAGAGACACAGCAAGTTTGTGGGGCTTTTTGTGTTGGTTTTGTTGGTTTTTTAAAATTAAATTACCTCTAATAGCACATTGAATCCAACTGCTGCACATACATCTTGGATTTCTGTAGACGTGGGATTTTCAACAGCCTGTTGAAACAATGTGTTACAGTTAATTATTATTCAATTATGAACTTCCTATAAAACAACAGTTAGCAGCTTCCCACACTTATACTCCATTAACTAGAAAAAGCAAATGGGAAAATAAGGTACTTTATAATGATGAAAATAATGAAAAATCTACTGTAGAAGTAATTTTTGAGTGCTCCTATAGTCTAGAAAACAAAAATGGAAGCACAGAGAAGAAATCACTAAAACAGGAAACAGAGGAGACAGCATTAATTAGGACAGGGGAGCAGGTAAAAGAATTGCTTAGGAGAACTAACTGAAATGAAGTCACATCTATCATATTTACAAAAAACACAAAAAGCCATGAATCAGCAACAGCCAACTCGCAATCTTATAGGAAGGACTGAAGGAGCAAACCACAGAAACTTTCTAGGCACAGGACAGTACAGTTCTCACAGACAGACCTTTTGACTGGCAATCTGCATGCTCAAGATTTTACTTTTAACTACTATAGAAAAAACCCCAAACAACCCTAACACTAAGCAGTGAGGAAGCACTCCTTGTTAAAAAAATTACAAAGGAGTGAGATGACCAAAAACTATTTCTGGACTGCTTAAAAGCAACAACAACTTCCAAGTTTATGTGCCACGTGTATTGTTAAGTCCATCTTTGACAGCAGCCAAGAGGTCAGGGCACAGAATACAGGCATATATACTCAGTTACCAAAAAACAATCCTTGGCTAGCTATTATTTTCTGCGTTGCTTTAAGATTTGGAAAACTACTTATGTAGGAGGTTGAGTATTTAGTTTCTCATTGCTTCACCTGCTTGCCAAAGGTGCTGCTCACATGAAAGTAGCAGACGCTAAAACCCAGTGCTCTCTGACTAAATTCATATGCTAACTCTAGGTTATTTTCCAATACACTGTAATTTCCAGTTACTGAGCTTTTTGTCATGCGGGATAGGAAAGATCAACAGCTTTGAGATTTATTTCCAACTCTCTACATGCTACTGCAAAGTGAAACATAGCCTCATATTTCCCTGCCACCCAAAAAATTACTTTGTCTATAGGTATCCTCCTTCCTTCTGCTATTGTCTTCTTGTTATTCAAATATGCTGGATAAATGCAGATGAACCTAAAAAGAGAAAACAGTGAGTTTAAGCACGTAGTATCAACTCCTTAATTGTTTATGCAGTATTTTCCTAGCAAAATGAACAAAAACTCATGGCTACAATTCCTAAGTTCCCACAGAAGCTCAGAACAACCACTTACTTTCCCTAGACCAGTTACTAAGATGTTGCAAAACCCCATTTTGAGTGGTCCAGAATACTGCATGACCATTTGGCTGAAATGTTCACTGCATGACATCACTTTTTGAGGTACACAGTGAGGAAAGGAGGCTAACAGAGAACGCTTTGACCTATCTCTTAAACCACTAAAATCTTGAAGGAAACAGACATTTCCCTGAAAAAAAACTAAAAAAGCTTTCCTGAAAGCTGCAGCATGCTAACTGCTGACTAAGTTCTTCTCACAAGTGGTGGGGTTTTTTGGCTATGGATTTGCTTTTCTTTTTTTTTTCCCCTATTCACACACAGAACAAACCCAGATATGGTTAAGTTATACAGGCTTTGAAAGACTACACTTACAAACTTAAGATTTTTCAGTTGATTTAAACCTGTCAAGAACATACAAGTGGACAAGAGAGAACCTCAATTATACTTTTAATTAGACAGTTGAAAAAGCAACCAGGTGAGGCCTACAAAAGAAGCTGAATAACGCTTCTGGTTGCATGAGGACCTGTGACAGCATAAGAAAATGGGGAAGCAGGAAGCAAGCAAATCATCTGAAGCAGACTAATGTCTGGCCAGCTGGAAACTGCCAAGGATCACTGATCCTTGCTGCCAGCAGGAAACACTTCTTGCTGTCTCTGTCATGTCAGCTCTGATCACCCTCTCCTCCCAAGCATCCCTCTCGCTTCTATCTCCCCGTACTGGTTACAGGTCCTCTTGGGGAAGCAACCACCACCCGCGCAGACACCAGCGGCCTGCAAAGGGCACCTCCCGCCCCGCGACCGACGTTCCCAGCCGCCAGCCCGCGGCAGCGACCAGCATCACCTCCCGCGCCACAACCTCCTCGGAGACCCATGACTAATGCTATGATGGAATTATCTGGAATGATACACTATTTCACCAACAACAGTCAGTGTGGAGAAAAACAATGTGCAGCCTTTTGTGAAGTTTGTCATAATCTGACCTTTTCTATCACAAATTAGCCCTTTCAATTCTTATGTCAAGGCCATAGGGAAACAGGCTTGGACAATTTTATCTGTACATTTTGTGACGTTCCCTTTCCAGTCAGAATTTTGTTCTTGTATTTAAGTTTTTTTAAACAGGAAAAAAAAATATTAAAAATTAAAAAATTACAGATCACTCCAGAACAAAGAAAATCAAATTATCAAGAATCTTACTTGACCCAGATCCTAGCCTTTAACTCTAGGTCTTTATGCTTGACACTTTATTCCCAAGGCAGCTCCCATTTTTAATTTCTTACTTTTTACAACATAAATGTCACAAATGCATAAACAGAGTTTATGTGTTTCTAGGTTGCTTTATAGTTAAAGAAAGGTTTCCTTAGAATGTTGGGCATGTAGACTTTTTCTTACACTTGAGACTGATGGACACATCTGAGTAGTATCTGCTTGCAAGTATTAAAATCAGTCTGTCTGGTAAGTGTACATAACAGTAAAATGGGCTAAACTCTAGAAAAAAAAACATTTTTAGACACTGAGTACATACTGCTTAATTTAAATTCAATGCTGCTGAAACAGAAATGTCGGAGCTGCCAACCCAACCCCCGCGCGTTCTGACGCCCCTCAGCGCAGGGGGAGGCGGGCGCGGCTGGGTAGGGAGTCCGGGATCGAGACCCAGTAACAACAAACAGGCTGTTCCTGAGCAGGGATTCTTTATTGCAGCGCTGGGCAGCACTGGGGATTCTCCACCATGAGTGCTCCGACGAGTCAGTGAAACACCCCGACTAATATACACCAAAACCATGCGTGTTCAGTTTTATGTCAGTGAGTTCCCAGAATTCTTTTACACAGTCATTTTATTTCCTGGAATTGGCTGTCTTTGTAATTATGTCTGCTCGATGGTCTCCTGTGGGGGTCTTTGTAGATTCTAGTCCTTTGTCGTCTCTGTCCTGGTCCTGTCTCCAGTCTCCCCTGGTAGGTTGCCCAGGTGGGTCAGAGTCCACGTGAGTGTGTCTGTAGGCACCACAGGCCTTAGAAGACTTGATGTTATCACAGCCTACAGGATGCTTGGCATAGTTGACTGACAGTTTCACAAAGCACCTTGTTTTAAAAGCAGCCCTCTTATTATAGCAAATTCATTATTTTAGTAAGCTTTTATTAGGCTGTATTTCTGTTGAATTTACTAACAATATCCTATGATGTATCACTGGGCTGCCCAGTACAAGAGAGACATGGGAATACTGGAGAATGCCACAAAGGGCCACCGAGATGAAGAAGGGCCTGGAGCATCTCTCCTAGGAGTAAAGTCTGACAGAGCTGGGACTGTTCAGCCAGAAGAGGCTCTGAGGGAATCTCACAATGTATATAAATACCTGCAGGGAGGGTGCAAAGAGGACACACTGAAACACAGGAGGTTCCCTCTGAACATCAAGGAACACTTGTTCATTGTGTGGCTGACTGAGCACTGGCAGGGAGTTGGACCAGATGACCTCCAGAGGTCTCTTCCAGTCTCAGCCATTCAGTCACTCTGAATTTCCTAGGACACGTTTTCTGCACTCACCACTTAAGCTTAATGCAGCAGCTGTGTTACTAGGACAAAGAACTGAAGGTATTTGATTTATCCATCTTGTATTTTTGTCCTGCTCCACCAAAGCATCCAGCTCCCCAAAAGAAATACTGAAGAGGAGGGTGCTGAGACCCAGTGCAACACAATGCTATTCCAAGGAAAGAATTGCTGGTACCCTTTATAGAAACTTGGAAGTGTTACGAGTTAGGGAGAAGCTTCAGGAAGAATCAGGGTGGCATTTGTCACTGGTAACAAGTTGTTTGTCTATTCAGTCTTTTGAATGGTGAACAGTTTTGTTGCCTTCTGTCTTTGCTCTCATTTGGTGTGAATACACTGTACAAAGCCCTGCATAAATACAAACAGGACAACTGTGTGTCCTCAGCAAGAGCAGCTCTTGAAGCTTGACTGCAGCTGCCTGCTATCAAGTATGCTGCTTTCTTTTGGCGCGCTTTTTTGGTAGCGGGGGAGGGAGCCCAGGTGTGGGTCCTGTAAGAAGCTGCAAAAAAGTCCCTCAGCTCCACATCAGGTTGCCAAGGCTGAGCCATTAGAGAGACAATAGGTGTGCCTCTGCAATTCACATATGGAAGAGATCATGTAAGACCTGAAAGGAGCGAAGAAGAGCTGAGCTGGAGGGATGAGGGCAGTGCCAAAGTGGAAATCTCCAGGTTGGTGAGGAAGATGGGGGAAGGAGGTGCTGAAGCAGAAGTTCCCCTGCAGTTCATGGCAAGGTGGCAGGCTGTTCTCTTTCCCCCATGAAGGAGAAACACGGTGGAGCATCCCCATAAGGCACCAGGAGGGGCGAATATGGAGCTGCAGCCCATGGACTTTGATCTGCAGCCGTAGAAGACCCTGCACGAGGGGAGGTGACTGTTCCCGAAGCAGCCTGTGACTCTGGGAAGCCCAGGTTGGAGCAGCTTGCTCTAGAGGGACTGCACCTCCTGGGAAGGACTGATGTTGAGTTTGTGAAGGACTTACTCCCATGGGAGGGACCCCATGGGGAAGCAGGGGAGGACTGTAAGGAATCCTTCCTGAGGAGAAAGGAGCAGCAGGAACCACCAGCCTGTGAACTGACTCTAAACCCCATCCCCTGTCCCCCTGTGCCGCTGGGGGGAAGGAGGGAGAGAAACCGGGAACAAAGGGATTTGGGCCCGGGAAGAAGGGAGGGGTGGGGTAACATGCAAGCCCTGCTCTGTGTGTTGTCTGTGTCCTGTGTGTGTTTGATTAGTGTGAAATTAAAGTATTATTTTTTCCCCCAAGTTGAATCTGTTTTGCCCATGAACTTAATCAGTGAAGAACCCTCCTTTGTCTAGACCCACGAGCTTCTAGTTGGGCTTCGTCCTTCCCATCCCACTGTCCTGGGATGGGGAGAGGGGGGTATGAGTGAGGGCCACGGGGCTGGTTCTTTGTTGTCAGGTTAGGGCCAGACCAGGACAGGAGGTCAGCAATTTGGCAGCGCCTCACAAACGTGATTCAACAAGCTCCTCTGCTGAAAGAAAAGGTTATGTAAATGAAGTGTGTCAAGTTATGCAGGAAGCTTTTGGTGCAACAGTTGTCCAGTGCAAAAGACAGATTTTTGGAGGGTTATTTCCTGATTACCATCAGACTGGCTGGTATAGAGTTAAGTGTACCTAAGGGGTATACCACCACCTAAAAAGTTTTAGAACTACCATTACTGTGGGAATTGTCCTTTTGTCCAGGATGCCAGTGCTTAAATCTGCTGATCAGCCACAGTCGCAGAAGCTTCTTTTGTCAACTTCTGTGTTCAGGAAGACAGAGGTAGGCTGTAGGCAAGAGAAGAGGGGGTCAAGTCAGCAGCCTGTGTAGCCTTGGCCTGCAAGCCTTTTCCCTCCATGCTCCCTACGTGGCACTGGGATCCCCCAGGGGTGGGGTTGTGCTTCCCTGTGGTCCCTGTGACCGGGGAGAAGGTGGTCTCAAAATGCTTCAAGAATCATTTACACAATTTAATCCTCTACAACTGTACACACAATGTGGACTGTGAACAAAGAAAATTTTGTGACAGTGGTTCTGTCTCT